ACAGGAAGAAATGAAGACCTTCAATAAGATGGATTGACAAAGTAACTGCGCCAATGACCATAACCACAGCAGAGACATGAGGATCAGGTGAGCTTCTGATCTGTTGTACTTGTAGTTTCACTAAGAGTGGAAGTCAACTCAGTCAGTGGCACCTAACAACATGGTCATGAGATAGGATTAGAAGTGGATCCACAAAGATATGATTAGCCTTATCTGATTAAGGGCAGATATATTTGAACTCTGAGGGAAAGCTAGATAGCTGTTTCATCAACCTACATCTGGCTATTTTGCTCATAGGCTCATAGTTTCCAGACTTGAACCAGTGGCCTACCTTCCTTGTTGATTTTGAACTGGTTAGTACCCCAAACCAACCTGCTCTCCTATAATGAACTTCGGACATGTCAGCCTCTGAAGACTTTGGCCTGAGATTCCCTTGCCTGCCAGTTGATGACTTAGATTCAGCCTTCCCACATGCCTATCCTTGGGGTCTGACCTAACAGTCCTGGGACTTGCCAGCTCTGCAAGCAAGTGAGCCATTTTTTGGAAACAAACGAATTTCTTTATTTCTAACTATCTACCTACGTATGTATATAGCCATCCGTCCATTCATCCACCCATCCATCAATTCTTTAGTGAGGTTTTTTGTTGGTTTTTATTTTGCTTCTTTAGAGAATTCAGCCTAAGACAGCTGCTTGCAAGCTTTTAAGACCCCAGTTGCTACTCACTAAATTAAGATGTAGAAAATGTCTCTGAAGGGTCTATGACACCTGTATTCACCTCTTTGTCTAGTTTCTTTTCACATTATGGCAGTCATATTCTCAGAAGTGACACTTCTGAAGTTGTAAAACTATGCAGCATCTCTCAAAAGTTACTCTCTTATAATTGTATCACGTATAATAGTACTTGATCAAAGGGGGGAGCCTGTCATGAACAGCCTCTCAGGCAGGTCATGTGATTATGAATTAATCATTCCATCACCTCACATGGGATTAGTTTTAGAAGCATATCTTCTGATCCCAATCAAGTCTATAGAGAATATACCCCTGGTCAACATCTTGAGATGCTACATCATGAAGACCTTTAGCCAAAATGATCTCGATTATGCCAATTACTGTCCCTAAGATACTATAATGAAATGTGCAGAGAGCTGGAGTCAGAAAATCAAAAGGGCCGGACTCACTCAGCATTTCTTAAGCTGAAGGAGCTGAAAAACA